AGAGTTACTATACATTCTCCCTGTAGATCTGACCCACAGAGGAAAGTAAAAGAGGGAGCGGGAGGAGTGGTGCTTGCACCGCCTTAATTGCATCTTTAATGTGGCAAGAGCACACACACACACACACATCCGTATGCTAATAAAGGTCAGGCGATATGCACATCTTGATAGGCGAGTGTCAACGTACCGTTGAACAAATTTCATGCCAGATTTTTTGGTTTTTTGGGTTTGGAGTCGATTCTTTTTGGTTATTTTATGCTTTTCTTTTTTTTTTTGTTTTGAACGGCAGCTGGGACATTGCAACATGACACCTCGACATGACAGCAAAATGAGCTTCTGTTGCCGTTGCCCGACTCCTTTTCGAGATCTCCGCCGCAGCAGCAACGGCAGCAACCGGAGTGAGTGACAACTGCAACGGCATGGCTTTCAAATATTTAACACCAGCCTCCAGCAGCAGCCAATTCGGAGTCCAAGCTTCGACGCACCAAATGCATGTGAAATCGATGCCAAAACGAACACTTTTCGCACTCACAGAAAGATATAAACATGGGGCAGGGAGAGTGGACACTGGCCATACAGTGAAAACCTAGTAAGAAGGACAAATTTATTAGGGGGAAACCAATTTTCTAGAAAATATTTGAGTCAATGACTTTCATGATACCAATCCTACCAAATTCACGAGTATAAGACTCCGTAATATGAATACTATCCATTATCCTTTATAAACTTGTTTTCAAAAGTAATACACACTAAAACACATATGAGTCAATGGGTTTCATAATATTAATCTTACCAAATACATTTCTATTTTACGAGTTTATGCATAAAACTGATTATAAGACTCCGTCATAATAAAAATTATTATTTATCCTTATTAATCTTGTATACAAAAGTAATAGAAGTAAAATAAATGATTTTGCACGTTATGAAAACTTATTTAAAATGTCAAGTTAGACCTGTTAGGTGCTGTTTTTGAATTCTTGCAGATTATTCAAATGTATTACCCACACTTCACTGTAGCTTTTGCATTCGGGCAAGGCGTCTCTCTTTGATTCGACCAATGCCAGTTTGGCATTCATTTATTCGCATCTGTTGCCAATTTACAAAACTCAATTTCAGTTTTTTTGCTTTTCGTGTGATTTTCGATTTCGATTTGGTTTTTGTTGGTTTCTCGCGTTTTTTGTCAAACGTCGAGCCGCCTTAATTGATTTTGGCGCTTTAACGAGGCGCAAAGTAAACACACTCCCGGCCAAAACAAAAAAAAAACCCATTTGACAGGTCTGTGGGCCGAAACGAACTTGGCTATCGGAGTGTTAATTGAACGCGAAATTGTAACGAGATTGAAATTGTAATGTGTGATTAAAGTAAATAGGTGAGGTATCTAATCGATTCATCGTTTGTATCTGGACGATTACTATGTGACCTTACTTGAACAATCCCATGCTTACTGTCCTCCAAAATAAAATCGATAATTGGTTTTTAATTTTTATATTTTTTATTTCATGTCGTAATCATGCACTCTGTCGTTTTGCATTTAATTTTGGTTTCCTTTTTGAATTCTGTCAGCTTTCAATTAGTGTTCCGTAATATTCGTAATTGTTCATCACCGCTGATATATTAATATTTATATCTGTTTGTTATATGTACACCTGAAACTCGGCCATTTTTATATGGGAGGGATATGACCCGCAATCCATATCCGATTCGTAATTACACATATTTTGTAATGAGTTCTCAGCTCCATGCTTCTATATGTGTAATGTTATACTTATTTTTTGGTTTAGTACTTGATAGCTTATGCAAGAAACAGTTAAAATCGCTTATGCTGTTTATTATTTTCTTTTTTATCATAAGTATATTCAATTTCCATCAATCTCTACGATAATATTGGTTTTATGTTCTCATTATTCTTTTGTCTTGGTTTTTTGTGCTTTGGTTTATTTTTTACAGTATTGCAAGTAGTCTCAATTATGTAGATTAAATATTTATTAATTAAACATACGTTTTCATTTTTTTGTTTTGGATGTGTTTACTTAATTACCACAACAAGCGTTTCCAGTTTTCTTATTTGATTTACTAACAATACATTCATATACATAATTTGATAAGGGAATCAGCTCAACTGCAATATGGATTGGATTCGATTCAATGGGCCTAAAGTCCCCGAAAATGTAAGGAAACGGAATAAAACTCTACAGAAGTACAAATCAAATAAGACGCAAATAAATATTGTTGAAATTAAACAAAAAAATAAAAAAGACGTTAAAAACTATTTCTATGAAATTTTAAAAGCAAAACAACCCAAAAATCGTTTGAATTCCTAGTAGTTCTATACAAAGAGGCTACATGCAGATTAAGCTGTTAATACTCGATTGGTAAATTTCACATATTAGTTAGTTATAGAGCATTATCGATAGAGTGATAGGATGTATTCGGGGAGGATGGGAGGGGTAATTCTACACACAGTTTGAATCTCTAGATGTGTCTGCTGCATTCGCTGTAAACAATTTCACATGTAGTTTTGGTTAAGTTCAAATACGAATACGCAAAATGGCTGTATCGATTATATATAATACATAAATATTTGTTTTTTAAATATACTGTATAATTTCCCTTTGTTTTGTTTTCTTTGTGTTTACACTTCATGCAAAAGAAGATGTTAAAAACTGTTAAGTACATATAAAAAATATGAATATTCAGCCTTGTACTGAATGCTGCTTGCAGAAAGATTTAGCGAAATAAAAACCACTTACAAATATTAAGTATTTCAAATGAATGAAAAATAATAAAGTAAGGAATAAGTAAATATGGAATTTAAAATTAAGGCCAAGCGAAATTCAGGACAAGGCTGCTTATTATAACTATTGTTTATCATAACTATATACAGATATTGTAAAGTACTAGACAAAAATGAGTTAAAAAACTCTTACAAAGTCAAAGCTATGATTTCATTGATTTTTTTTTACTAAATTTCTGCCTCCTTTGAGTTAATTCGAATGGATGATCCGAAAATGGAAAGATAAAAATGATTATTTGGATATCAGACAGTCGAGTCGAGTCGGCATTAATCGTATTTATGTTTATATACACAGCTATAATTTCACTTTAAATATATTCTGCTTAATAATCTGCTAGATGTTGACTGGTTAGATAGAGTTTCGCGTTCGTGTGTTTACCCGTATTTGCTGTTGCAGAAGTGTCAAATCATAAATGTTGTACGCATCACAATCGGTATATATGGTAATATATATATGGCATATGGTTTATGGAGGAGAAGGGAAGGATCGAAGAAGACTGAAAAACTATGGCCATCAGGTCGTAAGATAATCCGATTCTACACATTCAAGGTACGAGATGCAAGATACAAACATGCAATTGCAATCCCCTCCAGTTAGAGGTGTAAATGGAGAATCTGATGTGGGGATCGAGTGCTGAAACTGAAAATGGGAAACCGGAACCGGAAAAGAAAAAATGATGATACCGCTTTCAGTTTTTGAATGAATGAATTTCGATTTAATCAGAGTTTTGCTCGGTTTAGGTTTGCAATTTGTTTTCCATTTTATTATCGCTCTTGCTTACGCTCTTACCGATCTACAATTTACATACTACGAAATTACATCGCTACATAATTATTGTTTAAATGTTTTTGTTTTTTCGTTTTGTTTTACTCGGTTTTGTTTTGGATTTTAAAATATTATCGTTATCAATTAGGGTTTATATATTATATCATTATTATTATTGTGTGTTGTTTATGCCGTTGTAGCTGTTGCCGTCATTGCATAAGCATTCCTTTCTGTTTTTGCAATTACGAATACAATTAAAATTATTACCTTGTATAAAAAATAATAATAATAAGAGCATACAATAATAGTGTTCTTCTGCAACTCCCTCTCTACATCTCTTTCTCTCAATCTGTTGCCTCTGAAGTTGCATTTCTTAGTTAAAATAACTAAATGTAGTTTAATGTTTGTTTTCTTTTCGTTTAAGTTACAGGATAAGTTAATTTAATTTACGTACATTGAAAAATGTGTTTTTGTTTCTTTTCTTTTATTTTTGTTTTGTTTTTGTTTTTGTTTCAACGGGCTGCCCTGACTTGCCACGCCCCTGATGTTTTGGGGTCTTGTGGGGGTGGTGCTGGGCAAGGGGGCGGTGGGTCATCGGTGGAACAGCCCGGCTAAAGCGCGTGGTTCTGAAACGGCCTAAGCCGGAGAGAAGTGGTCTCTTCTCTTTATCGTTACAACTATTCGTATCACTAAACATAGTTTCATTAATCATTAATTCTTGCTGTTATTTTGTGTGTTTTGCAATTATTATCGAATATTTACAGTTGCTATTTAACACATGAGTTTTTGCTGTTGCTGTTACTGTTGTTTTTGTTGTTGTTGTTGGTATTGGAAAGGAAGGGGGTTGGATTGGGTTGTGTGGGATCTCTACTAGCCCAAGAGAAAGAGCCAAGTTCTCGGTATGCATTTCCATATACATTGTACATATATATATATATATTTGTTTTATTAATTTAATTCTTATTATGGTTTTAGGGTTAGGCGATCTTGAAAAATAAGACCTAAATCGTTATACACACATATGCTTCTATATATAGGCTATAGAAAATCAAATTAAGCGAACTTTGTTAATGGTGGCTTTCATTTTTTATACAACTTATCCGTCCCGTCCTGTTTCCTATGCTCCCCTCCCCTCCCCTCGCTCTTGGCCCTTTCTTTTCTGGCTAAAAGGTTTTCCTGCTGCTGACTGCTATTCCGAATAGCTGCTTGCTTGAAAATCTTTTTGTTGGTAGAAGGGTTTCTGTTTCTGTTTCTTTCTGTGTTTGTGTGCGGGCGGGTTTGCATGTGAAATTCTGAAAATCCTACTAACTGATTGGCCTTCAGACCAGCTCGCTCTTCTTGACCAAACAGAGGGTGCAGCAGCAGTGGGGCTGCTGCAGGAGCTGGCCCAAGGCCACTTGGGCGTCCGCCAGAGGCAGGGATATGGCCACCGCCTGGTTCTCGCTGCTTTCCGTTGCTGCCAAACTGAGCGAAGTGCCGCTGGGCAGATGCAATGGGGATTGCGCTCGATGTTAGCTGCTGCTGCCGCTTCCGTCCGCGTCTCATCTGTTGATGGTGGACGTCACACCCACTCCCCCTGCTCCCGTGCCAGTGGCTCCTCCTCCTCCTCCGCCGCTGCCGCCGCCAGCTACCGTGGCATTCACACCGCTGCTCACAGATCCTCCTCCTCCTCCGTTTCCGCCCGCTCCACTGCCATTGTTGTTATTATTATTGTTGTTGTTGTTGCTGGTAGGCAGCACCACTCCTCCGTTGTTAGCACTGGCAATCACCTGCTCCACGGTCAGAGCTTTGCCCACCTCCTTGGCACTCAGCAGACTGCCATCCTGGGTGTTCACATTATTGGCATTCGTGGCCACCAACTGCCTAATGGTGGTGGTGGTAGGTCCCACGGCTCCACCCGTACTATTCACAGTGGTGCCCAGCGGCAGCGTTCTCGTTATGATGGCCGAGTTGTTGAGACGCCCTCGGAGCACCTGCTGCAATCCACCCGGACCCAGTTGCATCTGCATCTGTCCGCTGTTGTTCTTCTGAAGCGGCTTCACATTCAGCAGACTGGTGTACAGCACACGCTTATCGCCCTGGCCAGTTTGTGAGTTGCCCGTGGTGGCCAGTGTTTTCAGCTTCTGGTGTTGCTGTTGTTGCTGCTGCTGTTGCGATTTGTTCAGCAGCACCGTGGTGGCGCCCACCTGCTGCGCCTGCTCGCCCGCCCCCGCGCTGCTCACAAAGTTCAGCTTGAGGTTGGAGTTGGGCAGCTCCTTGTAGTGAAGCTTTTGATTGGCCGCCGCCGCCGCTTGCAGTTCGCTGGTCAAGGCGATGGTGAAGTTGCCAGCGGATCCGCCGCCACTACTGTTGCTGCTGGTCAGGAAGATCTTGTTGGCCTGCTGCGGTGTCGCCTGCGTGGTGATGATGGCCGTCGAAGCGGGATGCAGGCTGTAGTTGTGATTGGCCGCTATCGCTGCCGCCGAATTGGGCTTCAGTTGTTGCTGCTGCACTTGACCAGAACCTGCTTGTTGCTGTTGCAGATTGACATCCGACACGAGCAGCGGCAACTGCGACATCTTGATCACCTTGCTGAGCTTCTGCTGCTGCTGCTGCTGCTGCATCTGATCGCCCGTGTCCATCTGATCGCCGCTATTACCCGTCGTCGTGGCCACCAGTTCATCCAGTTCCTCGTGCTGCACCAATTGTTGGATCTGCTGCTTGGTCAGCTGGATCTGCTGTTGCTGCAACTGTTGCTTGCGCAGGAATCTCCGATTGAGCAGGAGTTTGTTGACGTCTGTAAAGGGAAAAGGCGTTCAATAAATGGATTTGTACAATATGTTGATGAATTAGATAGGATTGTTTGAGACCATTTTAACTATCAAATTAACTTTTAGAAAGCGTGAATTATCAATAAATTAATGCACATTTTTAAAATCAAACTTTTCTTCCAAACAACTGCTATCTTAACGAATTCATGAACCTTAGCAGCTTTAATCTGCATTTATTAAGTTCTTAACAACACCAAAAGTAGCTTGTGCAATAATATGAAAGTAAATACGAGATAAGATATAAAATGCCTTTAAAATTTAAAAGTGCTTACAGACAAAATGGTAAAATACAAAAGGTGATCAGACTTTTTTATAAATTCAAAACAGGGAATGATTGTGTATTAAAAAATTAAATTACCTGTATTCTCTGGTCCGTTGAGCTGCCTTTTCTGGGTGGCCGGGCGGGTCCAGACAATCTGATTGGTTACCGCCTTCGGCGAGGAGTCCACCGTGGTGGTGAGCACCGCTGTGGTGGCCACCGCCGTGTTCGTACCGCTTACCTGACGCCACACGAAAGGCTGCTGCGTCACCAGCTGCTGCTGTTGCGGCTGCACATTGTTGCGCGAGGGCGTGGCCACCAGCAGAGGCGTACTGGTGGTCACCTGTTGCACCTGCTGCTGCATGCCGGCAATGCTGTGCACGGCCAGCTGCTGGCCACTGGCTGTGTTGATGATGTTGACACTGGAGGAGCCCGAGCTGCCACTGCCCCCGGAGGAGCTGTCGTCACCCTGGACCTTGACATTGGACAGCGTGATGACCGTGTTGGGTCCAATCGATGCGGTCGTGGCTCCTCCACCGGCCACTCCCGCCTTCTGGATGGCATAGGTGACCTTTTGGGAGGTGGCCGCCGCCGCAGCTGCTGCTGTGACAATCTCGCCGCAGCTGGTGGTGTAGATCAAGTGGTTGCCCGTGGCGCCAGCGCCGGCAGCTTGCAGGGACGTCAAAGAGCGCGAGGGATCCCGCTGCATCTGGAAGAGCAACTGCTGCTGCTGCTGCTGCTGTTGCTGTTGCTGCTGGGGATTCTGATTCTGGTTGGGAGTCTGTTGAGGCGTCGCCTGTCGCTGCTGGACGGTCACGTTGCGGAGCTGAGCCTGCGCCAACTGGTGCTGCAGCTGCTGCTGCGCGGTGAGAGCGGGCAGTGGACTGCTACCCGTGTGCGGCGTGATGGTCACTATATCGCCCACGGCCGCTCCACCGCCGTATTCCGTGCGTGCGATTATCTGCGGTCCGGCGTTGGCAAACTGATTGAGCAACTGCGTCACCTGGGGCTGCGGCTGCTGCTGTTGCTTCTGCGTGGTTATCTGGGCGGGTATGTTGATCAGCTGCGTCGTGGGCAGAGCAATGGCTTGTTGTGGCTGCAGCTGTTGTGCCTGTGCGGCAACAGGAACGATCTCCGCCTGGGGTTTCTCCACGGGCTCCAGCTTCACGGGCAAAAGCGTTGCCTCCTTGGCCACCACCACTTCCGGCTGTTCCACTTGCGCGGGAGGTTCCTCTTTGGGCGTGACCACCACTGGCGGTGCTTGGCTGAAGAAGAGCTCGCGCTGCTTGAGAGAATCCGCCGTGGGACAGACGGTAAACGTTGAACTACCCAGCGGACTTTGCGCTAATCTCGTCTTGCGATTGCGACCAGCGCGCTTTGATAAATCGGCAGCACCCACCTTGGGTTTCTTCTCATCAATGCAGTCCAACAGCTGATCGGCAATCTCGACTTCGTCCACGGCTGCCTCGCCATCCAGGATGCCGTTCCAGAAACTGGTGGCCTGGTTCAAGGCCTTTGGATCATCCATGGCGCACTCCTGCAGTATGTTGTCCAGCATATGCTCGTGGTTGTCGTCCTCGTCGTCATCGCCCAGCAGATTGTTGATGTCGTTTAGCGAGTCGCCGCCGCTCAGGTTGAATTCCAGAGCAGATCCCGAACCGGATCCCGAGCAGTTGGGGCTCTTGCTGCTGCCGCGGGCATAATCCTGAGCTTGAACCGTCTGCAACAGCTGGGCATCCGACTCGAGATCCGTGTACTTAAAGCCGCTGCTCAGGAAGTACGAGTTCGAGTCGTTTTCGTCCGCTTCTCGCTTGCCCAAACGGTTCAGCTCCACGCTTATGGGCGTGTCCTGGGTCCAGTCCACCGCGTGACCATCGCAGGACTTAGCCACCTCGCAGTCCTGGCTATCGGACAGCTCATCCGTGGGCGTTTTGGGCCGGAAGTGCAGCCAATCGCGTCGAATCTCCGAGAGCAGCTCGTTGCAGATGTCCAACCGCTGACTGGAGGTTGGCGACAGACCGCCCAAGTAGTCCGCATTGAATTCATCCTCGTCGGGAGCTTGTATGAACAGATCCTTGGGCCTCGCGTGCACTTGGCTGTTGCGCAGATTTCGCAGGCGAATCACATCCGGCAGCTGGTTCAAACAGGGCGCGGCCTCAACCTCCTCCATCCGCCTGGCGGCCTGCATCTGTTCGTGCTGCACCTGTTGCTGATGCTGCTGGGCCTCCAGCTCCTTCTTGACCGCCGTATGCCGGATGATGCTGCTGAGCTGGGCGAGATTGACATCGTCCTCCGCCTCATCGTCCATGAGTTCGGGAACATCGGATTGCGTGGACTGCAGGACGGCTGCTGTGCGAATGCTGCTCAGCGGTTCGTTGGAGTCGTCGGCATCGATCATCTCGCGCTTTATCGTCTTGGCCACCTCCTCCAGCGAGGGTCCCGGATGCGCTGGCGCCAGCGTGCCCGTCGATGCGGCTGCCTCCGCTGCAGCGGCTGCTTCAGCGGCTCGTGCGGCGGCCGCTGCCGCCGAGGTGGAGGCCACCGGCTGATCCTCGCCTCCGCCGACGACACACTCCTCCGCCTCCTGCTTTATCACATTGATTTTTTCGCTAATGCTAACATCCTTATTCATAACGTTACTACTACTACTACTATTGTTGTTGTTCAACACGGTGTTGTTGTTGTTGTTGGAACGGTGGTGCTGCTGCTGCTGCTGATGATGATTGGCTCGCGGGGGTTGCAATTGCTCCTGATCCTTCTTCTCCAGCAGCTCTGTTGCCAGATTCTCGCAATCTTCCTTATCCTCTTCCTCCTTTTTGAGTTTCTGGCCAAGAACCAGTGCCAAACGCTGGATATAAGACCTGGGCAAAGGACCCAGTGCTGGTTTGGTGTCCTCCTCCTCCTGAATCTGAACCTCTCCAGCTGTCGCCATCGCATCCACAGATCTTTTCAGTCGCTTGGCTGCATTTAGCTCTCGCAGTTGCTGCTTCTTGCGACGCAGGCGGCGACGTTTCTGGCGAAGTTCTATCCAATTTTGGGGTAACGTTACCGCCGAGCTGTAGATTCCAAGCCTTGACAAATTCTCATCGTCGCTGGCCAGGTATTCATCCTCCACTTCCATTTCATATCCCTCTTCTAGCTCCAGTTCTTTGCTCTCCTGGCCGGACTCTATACCCGCCGCTGCTGCTGGCTTTTCCATGTCGCTGGGGGGTTCCACCTTTATCAGATCCGGGACAGACTGCTCACCTTCGACGGGCTTTCCGGCGGGAATCAAATCCACCACCGTGGGCGGCGAACTGGGTTTGCACAACTGCTCGGGATGCTCCGGCTTGAGTTTGTCGCCACACCTGTCGGCCACCACGCTCTCCATCACCGTGTAGTCCAGTTGCGACCAGAAGTCGTCGTAGTTTGTTGTGGCCCGGTCAAGGAGGATACGACCGCCACGACCCAAACGACGACGCGCGAAGCCGATGCAACGTGGCCTGTAAGATTAGCCCGATTCGGAGTGAGTATGGGCATGGATATGGGCCAAGTAGAATGGCAACAAACCTGGGATAATTGATGGAGGTCAGTGTGTAACGATATTTGGCATCCGAGCAGGCTCCACTGGGCGCCATCTCCTCGTCGGCAGACTCCCAAGGCCAGCGACCATCTCGGTGACGAGTCTGTGCAAAATGGAATAGTTAACATCTGGCATCTAGTTGAGATATACAAACACTTACCGGCAGGTAAATACAGCTCGACCTGCGCCTAAATGCAAACGGCGTCTCCTCCTCGCTCTCCGAGCCCAGTTTGTTGCCATTCTGGGCCCCGGCGCCAAAGTAGTCCTCCTCCTCGCTGTCCGCGATCGAGTCGTTGGCCGCCGGCGAGGCGCTCTGCTGCCTGCTGAGGTGGTGCAGGTGGTGGGGCAGGTGGTGTGCGGGCGAGACTCCAGCGCCTCCAGACGCCGGCAGTCCCGGCAAATACTGTTGTTGCTGCTGCTGTTGGTGCTGATGGTGCTGCTGCTGTGGCTGTTGCTGGTGTGGCTGCTTGTCGCGGGGCAGTTTGTGCTTGCGCTTCTTGTACGTACGCTTCTCCTTGCGACTGCTGCTCCCGTTGCCACTGCCACTGTTGATGGCATCTGGAAAACAAGTAAAATATGTGAATTAGTCACGGTGGTTATAGTCTTAATATATTGTATATTATATATATACACTGTAAGAGATTCATTGCCTTTTGTTTGTATTAAATCGAAGTATATTTGGTGAAATAAAAGTGGTTTAAGTTGATTTAATGTCTGTTTTCTTCAAAGGTAATATCATGAGACCAATATTAACATAAAAAAATCAATGGTTTTTATTTAAAAGAGTATTTGGATTATTAAAAATGATTTAAGTCCTTTTAAAAGAAGACTTTGCTTGGGCAAAGTTAAGTGAAACAAAAGTCAAGCTAGATAAAAAATGCATGTACCATGTATGCATTAAAAAAGTTAAGGAAATTATAAAACTATTAACCCATTTTATATGGTTAAGAAAATCAAATACTAAAAAGAAATTCATCATATATTGGATGAAACATATCAAATATTCATAACAACATTCCAAATACCGACAAATATCAAGTGTTTTCGCAACATGTTTGTACTACTTTCAGTTAATTCAGAAGATATCAACCCACCCTTACCCATTGTCAGATTCGACGTGTTCAGGTACTGCGACGCTGAGCCGAAGACATTTGCATTGCCCGCCGCTCCAACACCGCTCGGCAGCAGACCCGTGGGCAGGGCGGCCAGAATAGCACCAGCCGTTCCCACCGCCGCCGCCCCTTGTGAGTATTGATTCGTATACAATGGATTATACGCGGGTCTGCAAGTAAACAAGGAGTATTTCAGTACCTTTCGGCGAAAGTAAGGGGCATCGCGAAACGCACCTTGTGTTCTTGTACTGAGAATTCAGCTCCGAGTAGACAGCACCGTTGAAGTCGCGCATCTCGACGCGCTTCTCAAAGATGTTCACCGTCATCTTGAGATGATCGCGTTTCGTCTCCTCGCGTCGCCGCACCATCTCCAGTATAGTGGTGGCGCGCTGCAGGTCACGTCTATTGAACATTCGAGGAAAAGGTGGATTAGTTAATCAGGTAGAGAAGACTGGGTCATAAAATATGCTGCCTAAAGAAAACTACCTGGAAACTATTGAAATTTATAAAAGATTCAACAAAATATTCCAAGGTAAAATAAGCCATGAAGAAAAGAGTTTTAAGTCTTTAATAATATGAGGACTAATGCTTTAAGCAGTAATTCACATGTATCCTGTACATTTTTAAGCAATTCAATCATTATAGATTTTACATAATTTACAAATATTTGAGATTACCTATTGGTTGTCTGTCTGCAAATCGAAGGAATATTTATTTTCTTCTAGTTTATCAAATAAATGACTCAACAATCAAGGCAAAGAACAAAATAGAATCAAAGAAAATAAAGAATGAATGACTCAACTGATATATTCAGCGAGACTGAAGTTCAATTTATAGCAATACGTCTTGAAATAAACAATTCAACAACATATTTGTGTTCAAAGTTTCCAGTTAATGTAGTATGACACGATTAGCCAGCATTGACATAATTTTTCAACCGACATTAGACTCAGTTTCACTCAATTCTTACCGCAGCTTGAGCATCTTCTCGTAGGAGGCCTCATCGTTCTTACGATTCTTACGGGTTTGCATTTTCTCAGTGCGCCGCCGAAAGGCCAAGTACGGGTTGTTGGAGCTAGCGCCGGGTCGACTCTCCGTTTTCACTGTGAGGATTAGTGGGTGTTGCTAGAAAATGATAGTTAGAATTATTGTTATATTAGCTTGATCAGACAATTAAGCAGCTTTGCCAATAGTACCATCTTGAGGCGCTTGTTCAGCCAGTAGTCGTAGACGGATATGCTGGTCTCGTCGTCCTGGTTGAGCAGTGACTTGGCCTCGTTCAGCGTGACCACCGTTTGGCCGGAGCTCTTTTCCAGCCGGTCCATCATCTGCTCGAACTTCAGTTCGGTGAGCTCCAAGCGCTGCTGCTGTCTGAGCCAGTCCTCGTCGGCACTGTCCATGTCGTAGTCAGGAACCTCGGTGTCCAGCCCAAGAGCTAAGGGAAAATGAGTTAATATTAGTTACGGTTTTCCTTAATAGAATGATTTAATGATTGAGAAGTTCGTTTGGGTCCTAAGATTCTAACTCACTAATGAATGTATTTTTCAGGGATACTTTTAAAAGTGTTTCACGATAAAGGGGCCTATTTAAAATCGGTGAAGTTAAATAAATACACATTCTTATTACAAGCGAATATTACAGAATTTAAGGCGAGCTTTTTAAGTTTGACTAGGTCCAAAGTTAATAACTGAAAGATTATTTCGTTTTGGAATTTGAATTTAGTTAAGTCAAATAAATTGTGCAAATTCGATCAAGTTTAGAAAAATGTCCGGTCTGCTTACGTTGCATGTGGATCATTTGGCGGGGCATTTTATAGTCCGGCGGATAGTAGGCATCGTAGAAGGGCTGGTCCGTCTGCAGAACCTCGGGCGTGGGGATGATTAGGCCCGCGCATATAGCCCGCTGCAGATGGTGTTCCTGCAAGGATGACAATTCAAATTAGTCCCTGTTAAGCCGAGATCTCAAAAATGATAACCTACCGACTCCTCCTCCTTCTCCATGCCACTGGGCATCTGCGGCACCGCCCGGTTGATGGCTGAGTACTCGGGCAGGTCGGGCAGCTCCTCGGCCAAGTAGATGGGCATCTGCTTGGACGGATCCAAATGGCGGGCTCTGAACGACAGCTTGGACATCTTGCTGGCTTTTGATTTGTGTTGGTGTTGTGGGTAATTGGGTGTTTGTGGGTGGTGTGTGGAACGTTTCTATTTGCTGTTGCTGTGGCTGTTGTGAGTGTTTTCTTAGGTGGCTATGGATGCTACCGCTGCTCCGGCTGTCCAACAGCAGAGGGCAGTGGGATTCGGGCTGCTACTGCTACTCTGGATTCTGGAGGATCTACTCCGTTGCGTGGTTTGCGTTGTAGTTGTATTCACTCCTCTACTCGTTCCCCTGGCTGTTTTCGTTAGCCGAAGATGGGACTGGAGATGGGACTGCGGATTCTGGGGGTACAACAGGTGCTCCTCCTGATCCTCCTCCTGATACCGATCCCGATCCTGAGCACCGGGGCTGCGGTGGCTGTGGCTGCTTTGCCAGCTGGTTAACGCAGCCCCTGTGCCCGTTCCCCTGGCCGAAGACGTAGTGCCACTGCTGGTGGGGATTGGGTGTGGATTGGCGACTATATAGGGCGTGTCCTCCTCCTCCGCCCGATCCTCCTCCTCCTGCCGCTCCTCCGCCTCCTCCCTCGGCTGTCGTCGTCCTTGGTCCTTGGGAACTCTAGCTGACAGCGCCGACAGCAGGATAATGGCCAAGGAAACGATCTGGTGGCAATTACGTAGACAACGCAGTGGTAGCAACAACAGTGACAGCGAATGCAGCAAATGTGTCGACGACATTTTTCACGTTGAAATCGAAGGTTCTGTGTGAATTGGCATAATTACGTTCATCAAATTTGCACATTTCAGTTCATCATCGTTTTAGGCAAAAGTTGAAATTTGGTTCTTCTTCCTTTTGTTATTATTTGTTATTACTTCGCCTTGGTTTTTTGTGTTATCGTTTTGGCTGATAAAAATCTAGAATCGAAAACAACAACAAAAACTAGTTAGTAAACAACGCACTCACTCACACGGACACACGCACACACATAAATGTGTGGGACAGCGCGCGCGGGAAAAATATCACATATACACATGCCGCATATATACCATGCTCTTTTCTGCCTTAAATTAATAAAACACGCACAAAAACATAGTCGCGATGAATCATTGCCTTTGCCTTTTTTTATTGCGCATTTTTTCTTTTATAAAACTGCGAAAAGTGCAAAATCATAGAAAGCCGAGACGAAAAAAGGCGGCATAAACAAACACACGCGCGCAAAAACACACACCTTAAACAAACGCGGCGAATTTCAAAATGCTTTTTCAAGAGATTTCTCACATTGCAGTGCACTGTTAGTTTACATTTTGTTTGTACAGAACTCTGTTAATTGAGAAAAAAAAACCCAAGCAAACTCCGCCTCATGTGGGTTTTGTTTTTTGCTTTTATCTGGTTAAATAGTCTCCAACCATCATGTGCGTATATTTTTTAAGATCGGGATTAATTTTTCACACACTTTACCGCACTTTTCAAGCAGCAGCGAGCGCAATCTGGTTGATAAATCGCTCGAAAAATTTACACATATAAACCCGATTTTGCGTATAGCGTGGTTTCGCTGGAAAGCAATAATGGCGGCCAGAGAGCCGAAAACCGACGACGCCTCGGAGTGCAAGGCCGCGATTAATTTGCACCGACGGCGGCGATAACGATGAGCGGCCGCTTTTAATACTCGTTTATTTTCCTCAATTTCACTTGGCAGCCTTATAAAATGTACATTACAAATTAAATAACCACTTTTGTAATTTTAAGCCCGCCTAAACACTCTGTCTTGTATTAAAAAACTTCAATTTAATGACACAAATGTTATCGATATATCGCCGTTGCCCGCTCGTAAATCGCGGCCTCTCACTCCGATAACACTCCGAACGTTATACTAGCGCCCCCTGGCGAGCTCTTCGCGCACTAAGCCCAACGCTGGATGATTTTTTTTTTCACAAACAAAAAAATCGATTTAGATTTTTTCACGCACATTTTTCACACTGTTTGGCAAATATTATGCCTGCGAAATGACAAAATGATGTGATTTTCAGCGTATTTACCACTGCCGCTCAGTTTACAGCTATATTTTAAGGAGTTTAGCTAGCGCAAACGTACGAAATTGTTCTTCAGCAGCGGGACACGTTTTTACTTATGGGCGGCCATTACGAATGAGATTTTCGGAGTTGTCGGAGTCGTGCAATCGTCAGCAGAGTGGCGAAATTATTTTGGCAAGGCCTCCTGGGGAAATATTAATCCATTTTGATTGCGGTTTTCGGCTAAATCTGTGGAATTTTGTGGGGGAGTAAATGCATACATTCGGATTGGTGGCGACCAGCTGCATTTAATTAATTTGTTGTTAATTTACGCAGCCCCAAATCGCCAGCTGCCAGCTAGTGGTGGACAAATAATTCGGAGTGGCCAGGCGTTAGGGGATTTTGTGCGGGCTATCGGTAAGAGCTCACCAATGCGTTGGAGGTAAAATGAGCTAACGCCTGGGTTTTGAAATCTGGGAAACCGTTATTTGTCACTAAATTTATTTGCTCTAAAATTAAAAATACATGAAATGATATATTTAGTTCCAAAAATGCAGATTTAAAACAAAGATAAAAACATTATTTTTTTTTGTAATTGGCATTTTAGTATTTTATTTGGCTAGATTGTAAAAGAATACATTAATGTAGAAAACTACCTGCGTTTTAAATCCATTCCTTCTAAATTTCAAATAATTTCAATTTAATTTTTCCTTTAAATGCTTTTGATTTATTATAATCTCTTACAAGGCTTTTCGTACTCGCTGTTTTGCTTAACTTTGTTTATTTGCTAATTACAATGTCTTGGTAGTTTTTAAGGTGCTCGTTGACTTTAAATCTTTACTTTTTGGAATACAATTAAAATATTGTCGATATTCTTTAACGATTTTCAGGGAGTATGCTGAGTTGGCCAAGCGATTTTGAATGGTAATTATTTTCGTTTTTTTTTGTTTGTATTTGTCCAGCAAAGCGAGTTGGAAGCACCTGCTTAGTAAAAAGTAAGCCTCAAAGCTTTGTTTTAAAGCCCCAAGCAGAAGAAGCTTGATTTGATAATTTCCCGCGCCGATCCTCCAACGGTTTTTTCAGCTGCATTTTGTATCCTCACTTTTTTGGGGCATCTATTATTTGTTTTATTTTTTTTTTGGGGAATGGCCGCACGGATGTTCACAATTACAGTTGGGGCGGCGACCGTCTGTGGCCAAAAGCGATTTTTTGGGAATGTTCGCCGGTAACAGGCGGCGCCATATTTTTCATTTTTACCCTCGAAGTTTCAGATGCTCGGTAATGCACGCGCGCCTGCCGGCCACAAATGCCAAGCTTTAACTTTTAACAAGTTAAATAATATTTTTTGTTTGCATTTGTGATACGGCTGTCGCGGCATTGCGACCACTGTGCATGGATTGCGATGGCGTACATGATGAAAAACATAGTCAGACAGTGGTGTCGTATGTGAAAAAGCACCATTTTCGTGGGTGGCTGTGGGTGGAGGGGCGTGGCACAGCTGCGAAAGAGGGACAGAAAGAGCTCTCTATCGCACCTGAGCAACCTTGTTGGTGGTGAAACACGGTGGCGTACAAGAATTTTTTTGTTTTTTTAATTCAAATTATCTAAAGTAAAAAATAAATCTGATATGAAACAAAATTTAAGTTCTTATTTGGTTTTACCTTTTTACAACAAATGAAAAATATAATTCAAATTTCAAATCCACCAAACAAACAAAATTCTTGTGTACGCCACTGGTGGAACATATGTGGATGCCATTTGACAAGGTGAGTTGAGGTGAGAAGGTGAAAAGGTGAGTGATTGAGCGAGAGGTGGGAATTACCAGATGTGAGCGTGGAGAGCTGAGGTGTTAACTCAATACAAAAAAATTGGAATTATCTGCTATATTCAAGATGAATAATTGAAAAAAAAACGAACCAATATCTAAACTTAAAACATAAAAGCGACTGCTGATTTCTTCTAGAGAGTTGGTTTTTGAGCTTTTTGTGTCTCCTAGGTTTTTCTCTTTTTTCTTTGCAATATTCATCAACCAATACCAATAATCATTTTACTAAGCATTTCGCTATATTGGTAAGATCTTTGATATTAATTTAGTGCTTTTTGTATTGTGAGGAATCTATGGATGTCAAGCTTAAGCCCATCATTATCGGGCTCTTTAAAACGGTATTTAATTGTATGTTCTGTTTGAAAAAACGCGCCTACAAGTAGTAAAAATTCACCATTGGTTTTTAGTATATTCATGAGTTGTTTGAGTGTTTTCTCTAAGTGCATCGCTTATTCTGTAACTGTATTGTATTTTCTGTATATATTTCGCTAGCATTCAGTGAGTGGCTTTTGTGTTTTTGCGTGTTTTTTTATTGTTTTATTTTTGTTTTACTATATGCTACAGGTGTGTCTCTAGAGTTCTATGTGGTTTCTGTTTTTGGAAGAAAGTTAGTAAAAAGAGTCTTAGATCAAACGGAGTTGTTAGGAAAGAGTGAGAGATAGTTAAATAAATAGAAAGATATACAGAGAGATATAGAGGAGATACAGAGAAAGAGAAATAGAGAGTGTGTTGGCGCTGAGATAGATGTTGGAACTACAAAAAGTACTAAATTAAAATATGTTAGTTTTGCACTACAAAATCCGTGTGTGTTAATTTTGTTGTTTAACTTCATTGCCTGTTTTCGATTAATGTTTTTGTTTTAACTTTGAAACGCATTAACCGTCAATCAATCAATCAAATACTGGTTATAAGAATATTGTCAACATTCACAAACCAAAATCGGTTAGATATTTGTGGTTAAAATATATAAGTTTATCTGTTATTGAACAAACCAACATACCAGGAAAGCAAGAAACCATACAAAATGAAATTAAAAACAAATAGTGTAAACATTGCATTAGGAATTTTCGCTAGGTTTAGGGGGTTTTGTGGAAAGGAGGGGGGTTTGGGGGAGGGATTTAGGAGTAGAAGGGTGCTGGAGTGAAGGTGTTTGTGTGTACCACCAAGATAGGCCGGCTAAAATCCGATATCCCATCCATCTACGAGCGAGGCAAGAGCGAACTAAGAAAACGGTGCGCAACTGTACTTTTTGGATTAGAGTTTTTTTTTGTTTTGCTTGTGACTTACCTGTGCTGGACGGATATGGATATTCTATTGTTTTTTTTTTTTTAATATTTTCGTGAAGCATTTTTCAACTAAAGCCAAGTCTAGGGGTTAATATCATACAAATGCGTGGGCAAAAGTGCACGAATGTTGAAAAGTTGGTTAAGTGAGTAGCAAGTAGATAAAGCAAATTGAAGCTAAAAGTTAAACAGCAAAAGTTGAGAGTAAATTTTGCTAGAGATATATGGTAAAAATGGTTGTTTATTAGCCAATCTTTAATTATACAAATGAAAAGGTTTACGCTTAGAATACAAAACTTCAAGTCGAATACTCTAGTCGAGATGATAATCATAATCATAACTATTAATTTATAACATTACGTAAAATTCCAAAAATGTAAATCATAAGCTATGTAAGCTATAAGTTCCGATTCGATTCGATTCGTTTTAAAACTATCACTAGCATGAATGAGAATTGATTCAATTTCAATTTCATAATGAGGGATACGGGTTGTATTACGGATCTGAGGGTTAGGGATCGGAATTGGGATCGGGTATCATCTACTTACAATCTAATTATCACTTGTTGAACATAAACCAAAGGGACCAGGGTGATCGGTACTTTATACAGTTTGGTGCTGGTGGCAGGTTCTATGAGGCAAACTACTTTAAGATCGATAGATTACCAAAATTCGGTCTCATTGTTGCTTCGTTACGTGATATGATGCGTGGGGTTCTTTGATTTTTGTTTTTTGTTGTAGGCTCCAAGCGAGAACCGAGAGTACAGCTTAATGGCTAGGATCTAGGATACCGAGTATTAACAACAAAATAACGTTTTATGCATTATGCAGTTCTCTTCCGACTTTGGAATAAACAAGATGAGCAAATGTTTCACTTGGTCACTGCAAATACTTTTGGGATGATCTTTTTCAGGGCTGGAAATATATACAGTGTGTCTGGGGGTGTCTAGTTATTCCAAGTTTACATAAGATTTGGACAAATGTTTTAAAGTAAGTCTATTAACGTACTAAAGTTTGAATCGATTACTGGCTTTGGTTTTCTTGTTTTTGGTTTTGGTTTATCCCTCTGGTCGGGGCATTTACAAATGTAAGTAACAACGAAATAAAAATGTAATAATTACTACGATTCCTACTTAAGCGCTACATGCTTCAGCTTTAGCATCAACAACATGCAATTCAAATATCGATTCGATTTCGATGCGATTCATTTAAGTTCGCATCTGAAGAACTCTGTGCATCCAAAGCTCGCTTTAGTGTGTGTCTACCGTGTGTGATTAAGAACAGAGAACAGAGAAAGCCTTCTGTCATTGGAAGCTTTGGTATGCATTAACATTCCTGGATCGGGTACTCGAGCTTTCGATTGGTGCTGATCAAACTACTCGAAGTCCTTTCTTCGAAAACAGTGCTCCAAAAGGAAATCAATCGTAACTGTTATCGTAATGAAATCAAATCAAGCTACAAATCATACGCTTAGATAGAGAGGAAGATAGATAGTGAGTTCGTGTAGGATTTAGTCAAGGTGTTTTTTGTATGTTTTGTATGTGTGTGGATTTCTGTGGGTGAGCCTAACACTTTCTATCTGCTGAGCAATTGACCCATTAGCCATGACACTGCCACTGCGATGGGTATGAGATGCAGCTGGCAACCGTTAGTGAGTAAATCTTTACTAGAATTGCACATATCTTCCTCACAAAAGCACATATGTCCATTGCCTGAACTTTCCATCATGCACACGTGATCGACCATGAATAAATTGATCTGTAACTGTGACGTACACATGCGTCGCACCACCTCGTACGCTGGAAAGAGAGAGCAAGAGAAGGGAGAAAGAGACGGGGACAAAGGATAATCAATTCGCGAATAGGATAGAAAAGCTAGGCATAGTCAGAGTGTCAAGTCTACTCACGTGATCTCTGATGCCGCACCATTTTCACGCAGCAACCGTTGCAGGTCATCAAGGGAGGTTGATCCCTTGGCAGGGCAGTATAATTGAAGGGATCCTAAGTAAATACAAAACATTAATTCAAATATATCATCTCCATTACTCATTTCAAACCTTGCAGCGGGCATCTGTCCAGGAATCGCACTCATAGCAGTAAATCGATCGCGCTATATGAAAAGATATCGCGTTATTATCAGCTTCTTAGTACATTTACTGCTTTCTGCTGATCTTCGGACTAATTTGAGGTTAGCTTTACATGTACAGTAACGTGAAAACATGCAAGACACAAAAGCATGCCAGAGTTGCCAAACACAAACAAACAGCAGGCAGAGAACATTTTTCGATACCAATTTGAAAATCAACAGGTGAATTTGTTGCGTTACTTTTGAATTGGGTGTAAGGTAATTTAGAATTTATTGAATGGCAAGTGCTTAATAAAATCTCTAGCCTAGATTTGCAAAGAAAAATAAACTCAACAGTAAAACACATTTATGTGGGGGATGTACTTGGGAAGCTTTAAATAGAAGAGTGTATTTTTAAAGCATGCACTCGCACTCACATACTTATACACCACATACAGACACGCACAAATAACTAGTATAAACTATCGGTTTTTTCGGATATAGTTGTTTTCAGAATTAAGTTCTGAAAAAAAAAGTATTCTCAACAAACAAAAACGGAATACACTTTCATTTTGAACTTTATTACGTTCAGAATCGCACTTACACCTGATTCAAAGGATTTTAAAAGGATAGTATAAATGAATTAAAAATGAACGAAAAAGAATACAATTCAAAAAAGCCTTGCTTTGGTGCAAAACAAACTAGAGAAAAAAGTGCAACGGAAGGAAAAGTGAAGTTAGCAAAGAGTCAAAGGGGATGTGTCCCAAAGAACTGAATGGATATTGGTGGCAAAGCTTTAGGATTGAGCTGGATTGCTCCGATCTTTCGGCCGATCGGGCATTAAATATAAAAACGAAAAGATCTTAAGTAACACTGATAATCCAAAAATACTCCTTATTCATGGTGAACTCGTTATAAACCGATTCGAGTTTCATTGAAATAGATTATACATATACTTATGCATGACTCTTATTTTCTTATATTTTGGCAAAAAGGTAATCGATAGGTTTAAGCAAATGGAATGGTTTGGAAAGGCAATGGACTCATACTTTGACATTCGGCTGAGGTCTGCGGAATCCATATGAAAGTTAGAAATCCGATAACGGCTGCAAATAAATAATGGAAGAGAAGAGAGCAAAGTAGAAGTGGGCAGTAGAAGGAGCACGAACCAAAGATACAAAACCAAGGATGGTTTGGGAAAGAGTGGGCAGTAGATCAAGCGCCGTGTCAGGTACAATTGACACCTGAACTCATTCCGGTTTCAACTTCCTCCGAGCATGCACAACTGTACCTGCCATTGAGCTATACAACTGACCTTGGGGTAAGGTTTGAGGAAAACATATAGAGTTGGTGGGTGTAATGTTGACACTCTACAAACGTCGGGGACTATTCTCGATTTTCTGTGCACACATTGTTCCAAAGCCATTCGTTTCCACCGCCTACTCAAAAATATATTACCAGGGTGACAGTGTTGAAAAAGGCACAGGAGGAAAGACAATTTTTACAAATTACGTTTACATTTTGGTGTGAACTTCACTGCAACTCAAGACGCATACGTGTTGTTGTTGGATGTGAGACCAGGAATATGCAATATATATGGGTATATAGAATGTATAGAGTTACAGACAGCTGCTTACAGTCGATATATAACGGCATTTACAATCAACGGCACGTACGAAACGAAACCAATAATGAAACCAAACCAAACTCAAATCGAACGCAACAATTTTTTTCATGTTTTTACAGGGGATTATTTGTTTTTTTTTTTTTTAGATTAGTACAAAAACTTAAGGTGAATTTGGTTCAAACCGAATGGGGAAATCATACGCAAAATGAAACTTACTTGGAAAACAATTATCGGTGGTAGCGAATTTTGCCAATGCCAAAAAAACTATATATTATTTTTGTTACCGATGAAAAATGAAAAATAAAAATAATGTAAAAAATGTTTTCAATCAATTTCACTTGAATTGTGAATGGCTTAGCAGCTATAAAGGAAATGAAAATCAATCATCTCGGTGCCCTATCTAAACAATTTCGACTCGATTGATCGATCAGCTTGCACTTAAATGGAATTCATCTAGCAATTTATTTACATTCATTTGGTTCTTTTTTTTGTCTTACTTTTTAAAATACAACTTTTATAACGAGGCAGCAATTAATGCAAAAATATTGTAGTATACTTCGCTACAAAATTTCCCTGCGTCTGCTTTATTACTAAGAAATCTAATAATCGTATGTATGTAGGTATATAAAAAGCTCCCAGTCCATTCTTTGATCTGTGTGAGAACAAAACTTGATGGTCCATTAAACGGCGGGATTTTATGTTGGCTATTCTGTTTATTGTTGGGCTTCTGTTTATCATTCAATTCGATGTGGTGTTGACCTTTGTTCATTATTAATTTAATGACTATTTCTCTAGCTTTTTCTGAGTGTTTGTTTGATGGGTGAGGTGATGGATGAGTGAAGGGATTACCTGTTAAGACCAACAGCCAATTGCCGACTGCATTTCTCTGCGTCCACATCTTGGTTGGTTTACCGGCACTCCACCCACCTAAAATAATTTATTTTAGTGGTTGCTTGAAAAGGTGTAATATATATTGAAACTTGCTTTTAGTGGGCTTAATTTATTTGAGTTTATACTCTCAGTTGTCTGCAATCTGGTCTCAGGTCCTGATCCTGCAGCGAAACATTATGCTGCCTCGTCACTAAAATTTGGGAAATATTAGAAATTATTTTGTACTGCTTTTATAAAATCGAATTTTTTAATCTCTAGTTATTTTAGATTTATTTACGAATAGCTGGTGTAATATTATCATTAAACAATTTATTTATTCCCAATTTCTTTTAGACAATATTGTATGCGAATGTTCTCATCTTAACACCACAAAGTTAAAAAAAAAAACTAAAAGATCATAATTGCATGTTGATAACTCAAAATGGCCTTACAAAAAATAATCCCCCCTTTACAAAAAATTCTTTGCGTCTAATTTTGACTTATTTAAATATTAAGCAAGTTCCAGCTCGTTTTCCCTTTAAAATATGCCCTGTTTCTAATCCCTAAAGACTTCCCGCAATAGAAATGGAAACACAAAAATTAACACTTTCCCCAATAACGACCTACTCTGGTTTCCCAACTTTTATGACTCCTTAATGGTGCACATGGCGAGGGTTGGCCAAAGAGTTTTGGGTGGACATGATTTGTGGCGCTTAAATTTATGGCGACACTTTAAGATCCCATGGAACGTCCTCAAATGTGTACGTCAATATGACAATATAAATATATGGCGTGTATATATATAGATGGGTATAGATATAAGTGGATCAAAAACATGGCTCTAAAAATAGAGCCGCACAACCTCTAATAAGTGTTCTAGGTCAATCGGTGTGAGTGTGTGAGTGTTGTTGCCGTGTAGTGCAGAATGGGTGAGTTCAAGTCATGGCTGTTGCTGATGTCAATGGTTTTTCGGTCCTCTGTGATTGACCGGCTGTTCGAATACTAGCCATAAGTATCACATCATTCGGTTTTCACATTTCACACTGTCCTCTGCATTTTACACATTTCTTGTTTGGTTTGGCTGAAATTATTGTGGCATTTTTTGCATTGAACTTTGGCAAAGTGTCAAAAAAATGCGAGGGCGGGCGACAAGAAAAACGAGGGGGCAACGGAACGGCAGACCAAACTATTTATATTGATATGTATGCCACTGCTAAGAATATTCTTAAAGCGTGTAGAGATCAATGGGGGATGATTGAAATATTGATACCCTCTTGACATGTCTTCAAAAATACTATTTCCTTAATTTTAAATATTGATTTAAATAAATTACATTATTATTAAAATATTTAACTTTTTTTATTAATTGTATATAATTATATATGTATATATATGAAGAATATGTGTGAAATTTTTTAAAGTGTCACTAGTTTTAAAACATTTAGTAATTCCTTAATAATCTTATTGTTAATTTTAAATATTTACCTAATTTAAAAAGGTTAATTTCAAAGGTAAATGGTGATTTTAAAAGGGATACTACCTCATGTATCATACCATAAAAGATTGTCATTAATCCTTTACTTTAAAAACCAATATACCCTTTAAAATCGGTGAAGCATTAAACTGCCGCCTGGTCTATTGAACATTTCAGGTTAAGGTTTTGGCTTGGCACTACTAAATTTAGTGGCCAATATGGGAGAATCTCCACTGCTGCAAGCCACTGTGGCTATCCCGCACAACCGTTGCATACGAAAGTGGGTCAGAATGTGGTGCAGTGACCGCATGTCCCGTTCAACAAGTGTTTGCAATGCCGCCGTTTTAGCGCAGATTATGGCTGCCGATCACATTTCATTGGCCCATTCATCAAATTTTAATGGCACTAAAGAGCTAATTGCATAGTGGGTCAATGGCAGGCCAGAATATAAGATTAAACACAACGCCCAGGGTTTGATTTGTATTTTTATCCTTTGCCCCCGATACATTGAACCCTTTAATTACTTGCCTTTTTCCCTAGTTACTGACTAACTTAAATTGACTTTTCGTTCATGGCTACCACTTTTCCGTTGGCCACACGCGAGTATTGATTTTATGTGCTTGTGTTTACACGTCGCTGCAGCTTCTCCACTTTTCCCAGCCACTTTCCACTTTTCCTTTCCTTTCCTTTCCTTTCACACTTATCCGGGCCGTTGTTTCATAATATGTTCTGGGTTCTCCAATCGATTGGTTAGCTTAACTGGGCCTTAGTTTTTTTTTTAGAGCCCCAGTGCAATTTGCATTTGACCCTCGCTGTGGTCGCGGTCGCTTTTCCGTCGATTTCCGAGTTTTTCTACACGGTTTTCCTATTGATTTCGCTCACAACACTTTGGTGCATTTATTTTTCCTTGATTTTCAACTGGCTTTTCAATTGATCGTGTGCACTGGCCAATTGTTTATTTCACTAATTCGAATAATTTATCAATTTATTGGAAGATTATTTGTGGGCAATTTCAGCTAGATGCCGTTTTTATTTGTTAATTTTGTAATTTATTTAGCAGGTCACACGCAACGACATTGACAACGACGAAGACGACTGCGGATTTTCCGATTTTCCCTTAACGCTTCATGACAGTTTTGGCGCATGACGCTTTTGACGTATGCTGCGCGGAGCTTTTCCGCATACGAAGTGTTGGAAAACTTGTCGGGGAAAGCTAACAGCATAAGCTTTTCAGGGCGCCCTTTTTGAAATTGAAAATTTTATTTATTTTTAAAAATATTTGGAATACCTTGACCAACTTTTTTGATTACTTTTAGTACGATTTTTCATATTTCCTATCAATCACTAGATTAGATAATTAATTTTTTTTGTTTTCTAAAATTAATAATGATTTGGTAGCATTAGAAGATTTTTTTGATTTGCAATAGCGTACAATTTGAACTTACAAGTTTGTCTATTTTTGTTTGTATTTTAATGTTACAAATTAAACCGGTTACCCAAGCATTTAACTAAATAACTTCATATCAACAAATTGTAGTGAATGTTTTCCACTTTATTGTGAACGCATGAGAATATAAGAAGTTTAGTTTGTATATTGCATTTTAGGGCAGCTTACACAATTAAGTATTAGTTAAACAAAAATGAACTTTTCATGAATAAATACATAAATACACACGAACGGAGAAGTACACGACTAAGTATGATAGACACTGAAATGAGTGGATTAAACGAAGAAATCTGTTCTCCTCGGCTTTTTCTCTCTCTCTATCTCTAGATTCGAGTCGCTTAAAGTTCCTTAATCCTAAGCATAATCGCGAGCACCGTCCAATTTGCGCATCTGCAAATAATAGAAATATAATAGTAAGATAATTAGTTGAGCAAATGAAACAGGGATGCAAACCGATCGAAATTGTGGACGGGTTCGGTTGGAGGGATCACTGAATTTTCTAAACCAATGGATCGGCTCAAAACAGTGGCTTAGATTAGATTTGCGTGCAGTTGGCAAGAGCTTTAGTATACGAATATCTGCTGCTAAAGCGATAAAAATATACAATATTTAATAAAGCATAAATAAATCAGTTATAAGTTCGGTTTGCATCCCTGAAATCGAGTAAGTTAGGGTATTTACAATGCGAGTGTGCTTGAGAGGTGAGTGAGTGTGTGTGTGTGATAGGTGTGTGTGTGAGTGTAATGAGTGGGTGTGATCACTGATCAGTAGAAGGACTCCTCACTCCAGGCACTTATCAACCTGACTCTCACCTCGCGTTCATCGGCGTGCGTTCTGTACTTTTCGGATGCCTCGTTCACCTTCGGTGCCGGCTTCGCCTCCAGTACCTGGGTATACAGCAGGGCGGCTGCCACGCCCCCCAACACAGGTCCCACCCAGTATACCCAATGCGATGTCCAGATATCGGTGGCAAAGGCAGTGCCCACTGTGCGAGCGGGATTCATGCTGGCCCCAGTGTATCGAATGGTGCCCAAATGACCCAAAGTCACTGCCATTCCAATGGCCAGTGGCGCCGTGTAACGGGAGTCCGGCTTGTGGGGATCACAGGCCCCAAACACAACGAGCACCAGCAGAAGTCCCAGGAAGAACTCGATTCCCAGGCCCTGCAGCTCCGAAATATTCGGCGCCAAAGAGGTGTGACCCAAACCATTATGATAGTCCTGATCGAGAAGAATCTGGGGAGAATACAATTTTTTAAATACGATTGTAATTTATATTTCATTTGGGGCTTTCTTTCATACTCCTTTTTAATAATTTTCACCTAATATATTTTCACCTTATATATACCTAATTTACTATAGTTTACTTTACTAAATAAGGAAAGATTCGGTTTTTTGAATATTTAATTTAAAAAAAATACTCAGAATAGTTTGCTATGTACTTTCAAAATTAATTTAAATGCGAGCCACAGTAAACTTAACTTAAAGTATATAAAACAGAATGTGTATAAATACAAAAACATTTGCAAATACTTTTTATACCAATACATGCAATTTTATATATATTAACACCAGCAACGTTTGTGAGATTTTATTTTTGGAAAAAACAAAAATATGTGAGTCAAGTTTTAGTAAGTATTTAGCTAATCAACTGAATGACTACATGTACTCTTGACACTGTCGTTTGTCGTTCATTTATTCACTCAACGAAGGAAAGCAATTGTCGAAATACAAGTCACTTTTTAAACCATAGCCGGATGTGGGACAATCAAAAACTCTAAGAGATAAATGACTCAATATGAAAGCTTTTGTTTTAAGCACGAAAAAAACAAAGATAAGACTTAGTGGTGCTTTTTTTTTAAATATGTAAATAAAATAACGAGTAAAAATTTCAATAATTTTGAGAGTGATTTCTCAATTTTTTTTTAAATAGTATTTTATTATTTCTCACCTTAACAGCTGCAGTTCCAGCAATGGCACCCAGGCATTGGAAAATAACATAGAAAACTGCTCGAATCAAGCTGATTCGTCCTGCAACCAACATTCCGGCGGTAACAGCAGGATTCACATGTCCACCACTCAAGTGGCCCACAATCTGCAATTAAATTAGTATGAATTATATTTTTAGGGAATATTTTAAGTAGCCTACCGTAATAGCCATGAAGATGGCCAGGCCAAAAGCCAGGGCCTTAAAGGTACCATCTTCAATTTGAGTGCATGCACCGCAGGCAAAGAAGTTTAGGATCAGATTGCCCAGGAATTCTCCGATCAGGGCCTGCCACAATCGCAGCTCCTTGGATTTCAGCTGATATATAAAATAATATTTTACAAACTTTTCTTGCAAAATGTTTATAAACTTAACTCACCTCATTAAGACCCAGTGAATATTCGAACTTTCCCATCTTCTTCGCTTTGCTTTCCGACTGAAACTGGCGGACTGAAATAAAAAAACACACGGAAAAATCAGTGAGCTATGCCTACTAAATGCAAATATCAATCCGAATTGTAAATGGAAATGTGTTTGAAAATGGAAGCGAAAAATTGTCAGACATGAACCGGTAGTTAACCACCGACGATTCCCCCTTTTTGCACTCATTTAAGGTGCTATATTGTTTTGGCCTTTCGCGACAGTTTAACAATCTGCATTTCCGCTGCAATTGTCTTGGTTCCTAATTGGTTGACACTTTTGTCTGGTCTCTAATTAACACAATCGCAGCTATTCAGTTTTGGGCGGGGGGCTTGCTAAATAAGTAAGAGATTTTATTATCTTAATGTTGTAAATTTATTCTTCTGTACATAATGGGTTTTAAAAGAACAAAGAGCAAATTGACTTGTAGACATTTTTTTTGGGTCAGCATTTAGTAAAATATATATGGATTTGTAGTCTTTCAAAAAACTGAGTAAGTGTTTATGGTTTTAAATTATATTTTATTGTTATCTTTTTTTTATTTCCAGGTGTTCAGGTTATGTGCTTAGCTTAACACCATGTCGTTGTGCCAAAACTGGGAATTAAAGGGCACCCCTAAATAATCCCTTAACTCCACGAATCCATCTTATCAGCAATTGCAGCTGCATGTGAGAAATTATCAAAGTAAACAAAGTGTATAACATTTAATTGGCAACGAGTCATATAAAAGTGTGGTAAATATTTGAGAGCAACACCGGCAGATGTAAACAGAACTCGCGAATGAGCAGTTGAGAGTGTTTAACCAGGGGGCAAAGGGGTCCCAGGGGGTTAACGTTAACCCGCTGAAGCCGCGGGGGGATTAGGCCTGTTTTTTATAGAGTGGAATCAGTGGAGACTGTTTGTTTTGCTGTTCTTATTTGGCGCAATGCGGTCACGAACAGGCCCAAAAATGGGCGATCACTTGTCGACCATGCCCCCACACCAAACATAAGGAGCTTTTAAAATATATAACTACATATATATGTATATAGCATATAGCATATATCATATAGAATATTCCATTTGTAATTTGTCTTTGCCATCAATCAGTTGACCGTTCAATGTTAATTCCCATTTTGTTAGCTCAGAAAATATACATCACCTTTTTCTTTATTTTTCTAATGCAATCTTAATGAGTTTCGTGTTTTATTTGCGTCATCTATGAGGCTCGTATCGATATCAGCCAATAGACTCAAGTGGTCTGATATGGAAACGCGGGTTCTAGTCTTTAATTGAGGTGCAGAGGAGTGTGCTGGATGAGCAGATAGTAATTGAATTGACTTAAGGTTGGGCTCGAGTCCCACGGATAAGTGGTATACCTTGTAATAGAGCAGAAATCATCCAACACACAAACGCCTTCATTGATTGGAGTCTCAAGTAAACCGCGTAAAAACTTGAGACTTTAAATATTTGTCATCGCCTGTTAATCATGCATTGTGAAAATTGATTCAACAATTTCAGCATGTAATTATAATTATTTTCCATGAAATGTTATTTTAATTGGCCAACTACTAACTGACATTCCATTGTACAGATTCACAGGTGCTGATTCTGTTCTTCAGTACTAATTACCAACAATGTTCAGGGTCCCCAGTTGAGAAAATCTAAACAATTAATCGGCTCTGATTAAAGTTTGTTTTGCGATTATTTTGGGCTGGCTTTATAATTGGAAACCAAACACCCAACACCACTATTTCCAATTGTGGAATTTTCAATAGCGCGCTAATAACCAAATTGGTAAGTGTGTAAGTGTGTCCGTGCCAATTCGCTTAATATCCGAACAATAAAGTAAAAGTTTGCTCAACAAATTAGCACAAACGGCGAGAACAAAACACACAAAATTCACACATATTTTTGCACACCCAACAAAGTAGAATGCATTTCAACGCATTTCAAGTTGATTTTCGTCATTCGACATATTTCTGTAGCTTTCGAAACGTGTATGAACAGCGGGTTCATGAACTTGAACTCAAACCGAATTGAACCGAAAGGCGGCTAAAAATGTGTTCCAATAAAAATTTAATTATATGCTAATAACGAAAAATGTCATTAAGAAAACTCGCAACACACAAAGACATTCGTCATTTATTTAAAACATCTAGATAACAAGGGTATAAATTTTGCGTTTATGGAACTGATGAGGTAATGCTTTCCAGTTTGTTTTTGAAATTGTTTATTGACTTCAAAAACAGGTAAATAAATTATTTTAAAGTAATTTAAAAGGTTTCTATTGCCGTTTTGGGTAGCATTTACATATTTGTCATTAGGTAAACTAAGATTTACTAGAGGTAGACTGCTGAGAAAGTCAATGTTTTTAGAATTTATTAGTCACAAGATATTGCTAGCACTTGCATTTCAACATTTGTGTTCTTACTATTCGTCTGTTGAGTAGTATATACTTGTTATCTGTTTAGCCTTTTAAATAAATATAATTTGGAGGCAACTGAATTCAAACGTTGTTTGTAGTTTTTTTCTTTAACTGTTAAATAAGATCTAGCCTCAATTGCGTACTTCTGCTGATGGCACTTACCGATATAGACGTTTGCAATTGTTTGCCGCAACTTTGTCATTTAAAAAGCCATAAAACTTACTTAAGCTTTAAATTTGTATGCAACCCCAAACGTGGGAGGAGTAGGAGTAATAAAAGGGGTAGAGCACACAGAAACAGAAGCAATTGCAGAGTTAATGCCTACAACTCCCACACACGTGTTCGAGGCTACAGTGGAGCCCCGTTAATCGCCAACTGGCCACTCCAATTACCTGATCAGGGACCAGAAAATTGCCGTGGTCAACCCATCAATCACGGGTGTCAGATATGAAACGAACTGAATGCCCCCGAGCTTTGGATATGTCCCATTACTATATCATCGGATCACGGCATTGCCGAACCTAATTAACCACACAATACAAAAACATATAGATATCTTAAAAGCTTATATGGATCGCACGACCAAATCATTTCACGCAAGGCTGGTTTTAAAATGAAAAGCACAATAAAATAACCCACTGTTCTGCGTAAATTTTTAAATGTCTTTTGGCAAGATTCTTATTCTATATCCGCAGCTTTTAATTTCTCGGAATAACGCCGGCGGACAAAAGTAAAAATTGTACAAAATTGTTATATTTTTACGATTGACACTTGCGGCGGACTTTATGCGAATTTGTTTATCTTATGTCTAGAGAGATGAAAATCAAAAAAATAACACATCAAAGAAGATTTGACAAAATAATGAAGAAAGGAGAATGAATCAAATGCAATACGGTATAAGTTGCAGTGCAAAGGGAAAATAGTCAAAATTAGAATTATTAATGTATGTTTTTGATTAAAATGAATTGTAAATAAAGGATTTTTTGTAACAGAAATATGACAAATATTTTAAGCTTTCTTGTTTAATAAGACATATATGTTTAAAAACATAATAATAATTTATGAACACTAAACGGATTTAACTTTATTTGTTGATTATTTAAATTATATTAATAATAATTTAATGTCTTTGAACTTATCAATATAAAATTGTTTTTAAGTAAACATATTTATCAAAGAATTAATTAAAAAAAATAAATATATTTAAATTTGTTTTAATTAGATCAAGAAAACATTTTAATTTTTTAAGACATAAATTACTATTGAGAAGTATTTAAAAAAAAAAATAAAACGATTAACATTCCTTTTTGACATGTAAATTTTCATATATTCTCATATTTTGTGATTATGATCACTTTCAATTAGAAGTTTACCTTGTTTTGTTATTAGCTCACTTTTGCACCTTTGCACCTGCTTACGAACTTGGCTTTGCAGCAACAACAACTAACACCTAAACTTGCACTTAACAAATATTTAATGTATTTTGGCAGGAATATGAGTTCACTCCTCAAGCGATCCGCGCACTTTGACTCGACGACAAAAACTGCGCGATCGCTTTTGGCAGCAAAACACCAAAGCAACGCAGCCCCAAAGACGATGGTGCAAAGAGAGCTCGGTGTAAAATATTAAGAGAGCTTAAAGAGAGGCGGAGAGAGAACCTGAGAGTGGGGAATTCTAGAATTAAATGTACGATTATCTTGAAATTAATAAGTGACAAAAAATAATAAAACGGAACAGAAAAACCCACCACACTTGTTATTGCACATCCGAGACTCAAACCTTTTGTAAACAATTTTAAATCGAAATTGGCACCAATCGTCAAATTTATTGACTGCAAATAGTTATTAAAAGGGGTAATATTTATCCAACCCATCATCAACGTCAGACAGTGACGCTTGCCGAAAAGTTTCCATCATTTTTCGATTTTCTTATCACACAAATTTGCTCAGAAATCATGTCTTTCGCAAACAATTTCTTTAATTAATTTAGTGCATGTCGTCCGGGGAACACTGAACTTTTCCATGAAACATTGACGCAAAATCACATTGTGTCTTATCTTTATAAGGTGCATTTCGCAAAGTTAATTTGCCTTTTTGAATTAATATCTTAAAACTGAAGAACTGAAGAACAAACTCGGTTGACAAGAATGTTATCGGCTTCAAAAGTAAATAAATAATAACAAAATTTGATTTTTATTTTTTTATTTATCAAAGTATTCTTATCATTATAAAATGATAAATGTGTTACCTCGTGGGTTTCGCTTTTAAATAAGGATTGATTTTTACTCTGATATTGTTTTTGTAATCTGTGTGCGTTGGCGAAGATTTGAAATTGTTGACCAAAGATAATTTGGTGAGTTGGTTTGTGTTACGGATTAGCGCAAATTTCAGAAATTGAAGCACACTTTTATGAGGCGTCATAAAATTACTGGCTCCATAAATTTATGACTTAGAGTTAAATGAAAAATACTTGATCAATTAATAGTGAATAATATATTAGTGATAAAGGAGTTGTGTAAAACGGTCAAAAGTGTTTAGGTATGAGAATCGTAAAATAGAGCTACTTCTGATTTTATTCATACGTAAATTCAGGCAAGTGGTATTGCAATTATTTGATAACTTATCTAAGCTATGAAAGGTATGCCAAAGCGTTTTTTCAAGACAAATCCCAAAAGAAAATAATTCATTTGCATAATGACGATTCATTCGGTTTGCCCTTTTTAATTTTAAGGGAGATACTGACAAGCATAATTCATTTTGACAAGCTTTAGATAAAGATCTTTTCTAATTTACATAGGTATTAATAGAAGACTCCTTTGGTAAAACAAAATGGAAAATCAAGTCCACAATTCAGTTGAATGGAAATATATGAACCAGCCGACTCCTCTTGACACTTGACTCCTGACACCTGGCCAACGCCCACTTTTCAGCCACCATACAATAGTTTCTCGATGACCTTGCCCCGTCATTGCGCCCATTTGCATATGGCCCGCAATCCTGTGAAAGGGCTCGCCTTTTTGCTTATTTTTTTTGTTTGCTGGCAAGTAGCCTCACTGTGAAATATGGAAAAGCAAAGTAATTGTGTCCTGACTGGCAAAATAATAAATTAGAATTGTCCGGGCATAGCGCCCCCAAGTGGGAAGCCATTAATTAAATCAGACATAGCTGGAATTTAAAGTAGTAGCGGAATGACGTGATCTGTGGAATAGGTACTTTGTGTATGGATAAATAAAACTCCTTTTAATGTTTTTCATTTAATTACTGTGAGAAAGGCTTATAGAAGGGGAATCTTTTTCTTAAATGTGGTACATTTTACTTGTTAGACATAAGTTTTTGATACAATCGTTGCTTACCTAATCAGCTAATTCTCTCAAACACTTGTTTTTATTTGAATTACTCATGTTAACATTTTAACTGATAAATCACGTTTGTATTATTGGTATAGCCACTTCCGCACATATAAAATAAGTGGCTGATATGCCAGAACTAGATTAGGATGTTTTTTTTTAGCAACTACACTAACTCTAACTGAAAACAATTAACTTGGCGGAACACTTTTCGAATTTAAAGTAAGGTTCTGTTTTTTTTTAGCGGAAGCTTACATAATTCTCTGTTTTGGTTGGGTTCTATAGTATTTTTTGCAAATGTGTGCTTTGATTACCCCTTGAAATCGCATTGCGAAAAAACTCGCAACATCTGCGACGGCTTATCAGCATCTCGGACCTAAGCAAATTTTCATCAATTGCCTTTTTTTAAGTGCCCATTACCGTTCCCCATCTTAATGGGCTCTCGATATATATAACACGTACACCATAAGTCAACAGCGGCCGTGCCTAACTTCACAACAAAAAAAATTAACCAAAAAAAAAAAGGGAAAACAAAACAAATCACTAAGCTGCGACAGAAAAAAAAGTCCATTCTATATGTATTTTTATATAAAACAAAAGCCAGTGCGAGAACAAAAACCGAAGAAGTTGAGTAAACACAAATGGCAAATTGTACAAGTACGAGCAAGTGCTTGTGTCAATCAATATTTCGAGTGCTGCGAACTTTTTAGCCTGGACATGGATGGGAAGGAGAAGTAGTGCTTTTTATTTTTGGTTTCGTTAATTACCTGCAATTTTTGGTCCGGCACGCGCTTCAACATCGCTCATACGCCGTGTGTGCTACAGGAAGTGGGCATACGCCTCGTGTGCCACAGAATTAACCTTAACATTTTGGCTTGGAGAATGTGTGGCGTAGATCTGTGATCCATGACCAGAATTATTCGCTTGAGATGCCCGCATAAGATTTGTTTCTACGAAAGCTCTTGGCAATATTTCCCACGGCGCATGCGTGAAGACAACTTGAAGCTAAACAGCAAAAAAAAAAACCAACAACCAGAGGTTAGTCATGGCTGCAAAGATGATGGAGTTTCGAGATGGAGGGGCACACACCGACAAGCGACTGAAAATGTGCAAAACAAATAGCTCAACAACAATTCAACATTTCGAATTGGACTTGGACGAGGCTTGCCAAAAACGAAAAAAAAAAACAATAACGAGAACCGCAAGACCAGACACAATAAAAGCAAACACCAACAGCCCCAAGCAGCGGCCTTATTGAAACATAATGTCTGATATACGTGTACAGTGAATATAGACTAGAAACTATTAAAAATATAAGATAATACTTTCGTTTTTATAATATTACCATCTCATAATATTTAGTGCGATTAAATGATTCCTACGGTACTTATCTGCTTATGTAGAGTAAACTTTATATAAGTTTTCGTTTCGTTTATTATTTCTCTAACTACTATAAAATATATAAAAAATATAAATAATTTTACAATTTAATTAAAATAGATAACTTAAATTTAGAGAGAGAAGGTAGTCTTTGTATCTAACAAAAATATAAATTTTTTATAAATTTGTATGTAAAAGATTTGCATTTATTGTCATTTCGTAAGCCCACAAAATGTACCTTTAATTTTTTAAACATATCTACCTTTAGCTTATCAGGTAAGTTTTCTAAGCTTGTAATTCTTGTTATCATTAAGGTATATATTAGAGGTATTCTAATTTCAGTAATTAAATTAATTAATTAAATTTAAGTAAAAAATACTTTTTCTCATACTGACTTACTGAAATTCGTCCTTTAAAGAGTATTTCCTTAACTGAATAAGAAAAAAAGGGTTTTTGGAAAGGGTCTGGAAACCAATTTTGTTGTGGAAATTTCTTAAGTCCACTGTACTTCACACCTATAATACATCATGTGTGGGTAAAATAAGTGAGCAAACCATAATCAGAGCGATGGCTAAATTTGCATAGACGTATAGTCCCATAGTTTTTGAGCTGGAGACTCACACTTTTACAGCGACCACTAACCAAGATTGATGAAGTGTCAAATGGCGGAGATAGAGCATCACAGTCTGAGGGAAAAAAAGTGACATTGACCTTTATTCGATTTTTGGCTGCTGCTCGGGCTGAAATCACTCATACGCAAAAAAACAAACTGGCCACACGCTCCTACTTTTTGCCACCTGATTGAACCAATTTCGGGGCATTTAATTTTCTACCGACTCATTGGCTGTTATTGTGCGCCCAAAATTCATTTCAATTCGTTTATTAGCCGCCCTCATAAGCAAACACAATATTAGCGATTCGCGTCGAGATTATTATCGTTTCTCTCTGTGTGCGCTTACACATTTATTTAGCTTTGTTTTCTTTTTATTTTGTATTTTTCATTTTGTATGTTGTATTTTTCATTTTCATCTTTTTTTTATTTGGGGTCCACTTGGCGATCGTCCGTCATTTTCAGTTACAATTGCAAATGTTTCAATGTCACTGGAGTCCGCTTACGGTTATTATTTTTACCGTATTTTGAATTGTTTTCGTGGCATCACAAGATCCAAGTGCAGAGAAAACAGATAATTGCACAAAAACCAAATTAAATTCAATTTGGATTTGGTAATGGCAAACTACGATTTGGAAGGTTTTTCACTGGTTTTACATGGATTTTAAATCAATTTTATTCGATTCATTGGAGTAAAGCGAATGGCTGCTTGAAAACACATTTCCTATTTATGATTTTTTCACTTTCACCTATGATTGAGATATATGGACCATACTTCAAATTAATGTTAGTAATGTAATAAACAAAAATATTTTTAAGCTTATTTAAAAAAATATAAATAATTACAATCGTATTTATTAAAGTAGTTACTAATGACACTATTATCTACTAATATTACTAGGGACAGTAACTAAGCACAAAACAATTAATATATATTAACATCTAACTGGCTGATTTCTACGATCCCCAACTTATTCTACTGAACAAATTATAGTTTTAATTGGATATTTCCTTAGGAAGCATATAGGAGTAACTTTGGTGAATGAAAAACGCAATTGAAAAAGAGGCGGGAGCACAAGATCTATTGGTAATTCGACAAGCATAGACCATCTCAACAGCTTGCGATTATTATCTCGCCCATTTAGCCAGAGTTCGTGCCATTTTAATGGTTAACTGGCATTAAATATAATTACTCATTAAGGCAACAAAGTC